TCTCCGCGCATTGTCGGCTCGGGCGGGCGGTCAGCTAGAACCGTGCATCCGCGTGCGCGTTCGCCCCGCGGCACTTGTGGGTCCTTGCCGAGCCTGGGGCAATCGTTGGCTTCGGGGCTGCGCTTGCTGATCTCCCTCGGCGCGCCCAGCCTTTATGAATGTTTACCCGATCGTGTTTTTTGGTTGTGTGTTTCGTGCCGGTGCCGTTCCGGATATCCGAGCAGACGAAGTATGGGTAACATTGGTTGTTCCAGTTCCACTTCAGTAGCCTCGTCGCCTAGGATCCACCTCGCTGGGTTTCCAAGGGGACCGCTGGGTTTTCCAGGTGACTGGGTGCGACCAGAAGGTGGGTTGCCCCAGCGTTGAAAATTGCGTCCGTGCCAGCTGTTTTCTGGCAGGGCGCAGCTTTCATTTCTGGGGCAAACATTCCTAGCAAGCGGGGCGTTCGAGAAATCGCCTCGCCTTCGGCGAGGGTCGAAGGATTTGCCATTTTTCCCACAGCCAAAGGTGGCGGAGGGGCGGCGGAAACCCGCGGAAATAAAACGAGGCTGCTTCCGGCGGCGGAAGCCGGCGGAAGGCGGGCGGAAGCCGGCGGAAGCCGGCGGAAAGCAGGGGGTTTGGGGCTGTCGGGCGGCTTTGCGTTCGCGCTCGGCGGCGCGTCCAAGGGGTGCTGGGGCCGTCCCGAACGGCTGCCACGGGCCCGAATCATACCCCGAAAACCATCCGGGGATCGGCTCAGGGACGGAACCATCGACCTTGAATCGGCGATACATCGCCGAAAGATCGGCGACAGGCCCCCCGAAGGCAAATCCTACTGTTCTTGGGCGGGGTGGGGCTATCAGACCAATGATTGGCGATCAGTGGGCGACTGTGAGTCGATGAGTGCCCCCTCTGAGCTTCCCTTACGAGAGGAGCGCAAGCCCTTGTGGGCGCCCATGTCGGTGCCCTTCGCGCGGGGATGGTCATCGAGAGCGGCGAACGATGGACACGCGAGGCGCGGATGCCAGGGCACCTGTGGGATGCACCCATCCGTGGCATCCGTTTCGATGGTATCCTTCCATGTCGTCGCCCCTGTCCGACGCCTGCGCGCCCCGTGCGTGCTTCCGCCCGCCACGGCCGACCCCCCGTCGTCGCCCGCGTTCGTCCGCCGCCGCCCATTTCCGGCCGCCGACGCTCGTTCACCTCGCGCGCGCCGCATAGCAGAGGACGAGCTCGCGGCAGATTCGAAGCGGCAGTTGCTCGGCTCAGGGGGGAGGGACACGCGCTCCACCACCACCACCACCACATCGCGATGCGATTAGCTACGCTTTGGCGCCGAGGGGCCTCGCATCCTGGCCTGCTTGCGATCATGTGATGGGTTGTTCGTTGGCGTGGCGCTAGCCCGATCAACGGCCACTGCCCTAAAACTAAAATCCAGGGGTGGCCGAGAGGTCTTGGGAAAAGGAATGCGTTTTTTTGTTTGGGTTTGCATCGTTTTCCCAAATTAGGACAGGCGCGCATTATTCAAGCGTTCGCTTTGCATTAACATGTAGTCGCTGTGCGTCGGAAGAGGGACGTTCGAAGGCTGGAGAGGGGGTCTAAAAAAACGACTGCGTTTACCAGGCCCGTTGATTTTCGCGGGCGCCCGGATTTCGCTGCGTTGTGTCTGGAGGTTCCCAGCAGCATTGTCTTATTCCAGCGTCCGTGAGTTTCCTCTTTCGACGGTTCTTGGAATCATGCGATGAGTTCCCATTTGAAGTATAGGTCGTTCCGTCAACGGTAAATGCAGTAAAATAGAAAATTTGGGTTGGCCGAGAGTTGTTGAGGGCAATGGGAAGTTGCCAAATTTTCAGCAGGTGCGCGTTCCTATCCCTATTCCAGCTTTTGGGGGGGGAATTTCCTCGCTCGGCAGAGGGGGGGATTTTCGCTCGCCCGATATATTGCCCTCGTTGGACCGACCACAATTTCCCCGCTCGCCCAAACTAGTGTCTCCGTTCGGTCTGCGGAATTGCCCGCCTCGCCGGAAAAATGTCTCCGTTCGCTTGTCGTTGTTCTTTCGCTCGGCTGGAAAAATGTTGTTCCGCCTCTTGACCTCACGTGGGCCGTTCAAGAGAGCCCGATCGCTGTCCGTCGCGCTGACCCAATTGCGCTCTGCGGCGCACACCTTTCAAGACTCCGTGGTCGTAGCTCTGCCTCCAGACCCGCAGTGCCACCGTGAGCATTCGGTAGCGCACTCGCTCTTCATTTGCTGCATGTGTTTCTAGTTGGCGATGCTGGCACGGTGCTTCGGACACCCTTACCGCCCAAACCTTTCAGTCAGAGGCGCTTCTCCGCCTGCTTCCCCATGGGGTCTTCGCCAGGTGGTCGACGCAGATGTTTGTGGCCTTGTTGCCGCTGCCTGCACACAGCTTGTCTTCGTTTTGTCGGAGCCCCTCCCTGGTGCGTGCGAGACCGCCACTAGTGGCTCGCAGTGTTGATTGTCCGCTTCGGGTCTGCAGAACTTGGTTTGCCGAGTTGCCATTTGCAGGTGGTGGGCATGCCTGCGGGTAGCCTGCCATTCAATGTGCTGTATCAGGCCTCTCTGTCGCAAGTGTTGTGCTGTTCTTCTCTCCCTTCCCGTGTCCTTCCTCCCGGTTGGGTTGGCACACGTTCGAGTGGGCGCTCGAGCTGCCCACGCCTACCTCCCAGGCGGGTTCCCTGAAGCCTTCAATCACGGCGACGGCCGTCATTCGCAGTGGGTGCGGTGTTACGCTCAAGTCAGGGGCACGTGCCCGCATGTTCGTTCCCACATCCGTTCCGCCTCATGCGTTTCATACGGGTGATTCTTTACAGGACGACGGTGAGCCTTCATTCCGATACGATCCGACCTTTTCTTCCCCTTCGCCAGGACGAACCTCGAATCTTCCAGGCCCCTCCCCCCTGCGCCCCCCGTATCGTTAGGAAGGTCAAGGCCGCCGGAGGCCCAAAGGGTTTCCATAACAAAGGCGACCGCGAGTTTCCATAGGACGGGCTCCCACAAACGAGAACGGCAAGGGTGCAGAAGCACGGGCCCCCATAATACACTCAAAGGGTCTCCGTAACAACGAACACGGTTCCGTGCTAAATTGTAGGGTGGCATTGGATGAAGGCTTAAGTCGAGCATGTCCTTCTACAGGAGGAATCTTCAAAAATGGTCAAAGAACAAAAGAGTCAAGGGGCGATGTTCCGACTTTGCTTTATTGCGTTAGAATATATACATATATACACATTCGTCTTCCTATATGTTTATAAGCCCGGGCGGCCCCCCCCCCCCAACAAAAAAAATTGATTCCCAGGATCTGGGGCTTTGGGACCCTCCGTACGGGCCTCGAAGCGGCCCTTCGGGCCTCGCAGGGTGTTTTGCCGGCTTCCCGACGCTCCAATACGGCAGTCTTCTGGGCGTCCGAAGCCGCCTGGGAGGCTCCAAAATCGCCCCACAACCATCCGAAAGGGCTTCCAGGAAGTCCAAGAGAGCCCCAAAACGGCACAACAGGGGTCAAAGATGGCCCTAAGAGAGCCCCATGGCGGCCCAAGACGGCCCCAAGACACCCTCCGAAGCATTCCAAATCGTGACCCGATCGTTCAGGGAGACCGCGATTGGAGGCAGGGTGGCCCGAGGAAGCCCCCAGAACCTCCAGAACACGCCCAGGAGGCCTCCAGAAGGCCTTAAGAAAGCCTGAACCTTTTGGGAGATCCCCAGAGGCTCCTGCCATTCCGCCTGCATACCAAACTTCAAAGACCAAGGTGCATGGCGCGAAGCGCCACTGCATTCTTGTGGATGTATGTATGCATGCATGTATGCATGTATGCATGTATGCATGTATGCATGTATGCATGTATGCATGTATGCATGTGCGTGTATGTACGTATGCATGCATGCATGCATGCATGCATGCATGCATGCATGCATGTATGTATGTATGTATGTATGTATGTATGTATGTATGTATGTATGTATGTATGTGGGTGTGCGTATGTATGTATGCATGCATGTGTGTATGTATGTATGCATGCATGCATGTATGTATGTTTGTATGTATGTATGTATGTAGGTATGCATGTATGTATGTGTGTATATGTATGTATATGTGTGTGTGGTTATGTATGTATGTATGTGTGTATGTATGTATGTATGCATGCATGCATGGTTGTATATACGTATGTATGTATGACTGGATATGTGTATGTGTGTATGTGTGTATGTGTGTGTATGTAGGTAGGTAGGTAGGTAGTTATGTATGTATGTGTGTATGTATGTATGTATGTATGTAGGTATGTATGTATGTATGTATGGATGTATGTGTGTATGTGTGCGTATGTATGTATACATGTATGTATGTAGGTAGTTAGGTAGGTATGTATGTATGCATGTATGCATGCATGTGTGTATGTATGTATGTATGTATGTATGTATGTATGTATGTATGTATGTATGTATGTATGTTTGTATGTATGTATGTATGTATGTATGTAGGTATGTATAGTTGAATGGATGGATGGATGGATGGATGGATGGACGGACGGATGGATGGATGTATGTATGGATGGATGTATATGGATTGGGCCTGCTTCGTTGTTCTTCCAAAACTCGCCTGTAAGAGGACAAACCCGACCTGAAGAAAGGCCTCCCCCCTGGAGGGTTTCTCCGAAGGGCTTGGGCGACCCCTCCTCCTCCTCCTCATCCTCCTCCTCCTCCTCCCTTCCTCCTTCTCCTCCTCTCATCCTCCTCCTCCTCCTCCTCTGCTCCTCCTCCTCCTCCTCCTCCTCCTCCTCCTCCTCCTCCTCCTCCTCCTCCTCCTCCTCCTCATCATCCTCCTCCTCCTCCTCGGGTCGCCTACGGCCTCAGCGGAAACCCTCCACCCTCCCCTTCTGCAGCGCAGCGCAGCGCCAGACGAGGAGGCCTCCGCGCGAGAGGCGCGCCGCGGGCGGTTTGCCTGGCCCCCACGCGGGGGCCGTGGACCGCCTGCGGAGGTGCGCGCGGCCCCCGCGAGCGGCGGGCGCAGGTGCATGTACGGCGCTTGGGCGGCCAAGGGCCTGAGGCTAACCAACATGGCACGGGGCCGAGACGCCCCGCCGAGGGGAGGGGGCTAGGGCGAGGAGATGGAGGATGAGGAGGAGGAGGAGGAGGAGGAGGAGGAGGAGGAGGAGGAGGGGAGGAGGAGAGAGGAGGAGGAGAGGAGGAGGAGGAGGAGGAGGGCGGAGGAGGGCGGAGGAGGAGGAGGAGGAGGAGGAGGGGAGGAGGAGGAGGAGGGAGGGAGGAGGAGAGGAGGAGGAGGAGGAGGGAGACGGAGGAGGAGGAGGAGGAGGAGGAGGAGGACGAGGAGGAGGAGGAGGAGGAGGAGGAGGGACGAAATGGAGGGGGGGGGAGGAGGAGGAGGAGGAGGAGGCGGAGGAGGAGGCGGAGGAGAGAGGAGGAGGAGGAGGAGGAGAGGAGGAGGAGGAATAGGAGGAGGAGGAAGGCGAAAGAGGAGGAGGAGGAAGAGGAGGAGGAGGAAGAGGAGGAGGAGGGAGGAGGGAGGAGGAGGAGGAGGGAGGGAGGAGGAGGAGGAGAGGAGGAGGGAGAAGAGGAGGAGGAGGAGGAGGAGGAGGAGGAGAGGAGGAGGAGGAGGAGGAGGAGGAGGAGGAGGAGGAGGAGGAGGAGGAGGAGAGGAGGAGGAGGAGGAGGAGGGGGAGGGGGAGGACGAGGAGGCGGAGGAGGAGGAGGAGGAGGAGAACGGAAACAAAGAAGGGAAGGGGGGGGAGAAAGAGGGAGGAGGAGGTGGAGGAAGGAGGAGAGGAGGAGGAGGAGGAGGACGAGGAGGGAGAAGAAGAGGAAGGAGGAGGAGGAGGAGGAGGAGGAGGAGGAGGAGGAGGAGGAGGAGGAGGAGGAGGAGGAGGCGGAGGAGGAGGAGGAGGAGGTGGGAGGAGGAGGAGGAGGTGGGAGGAGGAGGAGGAGGAGGAGGAGGAGGAGGAGGCGGAGGAGGGCGGAGGAGGGAGGAGGAGGAGGAGGAGGAGGAGGAGGAGGAGGAGGAGGGTTGAAGAGGGAGGCGCGAGATATACCTGGTGAGGCGTGGCGGGGCGTACGGACGTGGCAGGGCGAGGGGGTCGGCCAGCCAAGAATAGCCAGGGACACTTCGAGAGGAGAGAGGCTTGAGGATATACCGCTTCTCGTCTCTCCCTCCCCCCCCCCGAGCTACATTCTCCCACTGCCTCCGCCTCCCCATCTCGCCAGTCGCCTCGCCTTCCCCCCATGGCTCCCCTTCCCCTCTTACCGCCCCTGGCTGTCCCACTTCCCCCCTTCCCTCTGGACGTGTTTTTGGCTGTGAAGCTCTTAGTGGCATCACCGACCTCGACTCTCCCCGCCATCACTCCAGGTGTCCCCGAACAAGGGCCCTATTTGAGACATGGCTGGGCAAACAGGTACGGGTTTATCAAGGCCCCGTGAGTCCCCATTTGCCCCCATCGTCTTTCCTCTGTTGTGACAACCTGTCAGCATTTCTGAAGTGCGCCGCCTGTGTTGACGCTTGTCTCTTGTCCGCCCATAGCGCGGGGAAGTATTCGTGTGTTGGCACGCCGTCAAGAGGTATTTCTTGCCTGTCTGAGGCTCACAGCTCGCCGACACAAGACATTGGCTGCTGCTTGGTCTCACGTCAGTCAGTATCGCGTGCGTCCGCTCGCCCCCGCCCCTGCACCCGGGCCCAGTCTAAGTGAAGCGCTGCCTTCACGTGCTCCGGGCACGCCGAGGGGCAGATTGGTGCCACCAGATCAAGCTGGACATCCTGATGAGCTGCCGGGTGCGGTACTGACTTGCATGTGTAGCCTTACTCGGGGCTCCCAAGCTTCAATCTGGGATGCGGTTTGCTGCGACCAGAAACTTCCCCCGCTCCCCGTCCCTTCTCCTCCAGTCACTCCAGTCCCTCCTCCATCCCCTTCCCCTCTCGGGTCGGACGAGGGGAGGGCAATGGGGACGTCTGCCTCACGCAGCTGGTTTCGGGCCCGCCGCCTGGCGCTTTCCCCGAAACACGATAGCGCCTTCCTGCGCCAGGCGACGCCTGGAAACGCGGCTGATTCCCAAACGCCCCTCTTTGTTTACACCTCCCCCGCCCTCGTCCGGCCCGATCCTTTCCGCCACTCCGCGAGTGCCCTGGGCCCGCCCCCCCTGGCCTCCCAGCACGTCTTGAAGCGCGCAGCCCCGCCAAGGTGCACGAGAACACCGACAACTTCTGGGAGTCCCGCTGCTACAAGCTGCTCGTGTGTGACCCCAAGGTCCGGGGGGCGGAAAGCCCGATCTTCCGCCCCTCCCTATCCCTCCCCCTTCCACCCACACCGTTCCGTCTCACCTCATCCATCTCCTCCTCCTCGACCGACCGTCGCTTGAGGCGGAAACAAAGCCATCCCTCCCCTCCACCCGCTCTCCTCGACCTGCATCCACCTCTCCCCATCCTCCCTCCTACCCCCAGTCTTCCCTCTCTCTCCCTCCTCTCCGCCCAGCACTTTCCCATCCCCACGCCCCTCGCCCTGCCCTGGTCATTGCACTCTCGTGTTTCAGCTTCCCATCCGTTGCCTTCACTCGTCTTCCGCCCGCTTCAAAGCCTCCATTTGCCAAAACTCCGGATGTCGAAGCCTCTGGAGGCCCACCTGGATCCAAAAGAAACAACAACCGTCCGAAAGCCTCGAACCTAGATCCTCACCACCCCTGGACCCCTCCTTCTTCTCCTCCTCCTCCTCCTCCTCCTCCTCCTTCTCCTCCTCCTTCTCAACCTCATCCGAAACCTTGTTGTTCAGATTACGATTTTGCTTAGCATCATCATCCTCCTCATCAACATCATCATCAGCATAATCATCATCAGCAGCAGCATCATCATAAGCATCATCTGCATCATCAGCATCCTTATCATCATCATCAGCATCATCATCATCATCATCATCATCATCATCATCATCATCATCATCGTCAGCATCGTCAGCATCGTCATCGTCATCAACATTGCCATCGTCGAATCATCAGCAGCATCAGCATCAGCATCAGCATCATCAGCAATATCATCAGCATCAACATCATAATCATCATCTGCAGCAGCATCATCAGCATCATCATCATCAGCATCATCATCAGCAGCAGCATCAGCATCGGCATCCTCATCCTCAACCTCATCATCGCAATCATCATCATCAGTCATCAGCACCATCATCAGCATCATCATCATCGTCATCAGCATCATCACCAGCAGCGTAAGCGTCATCGGCATCATCGTCATCATCATCAGCATCATCGTCATCAGTAGTATCATCATCATCATCGTCATCGTCATCGTCAGCATCAGCATCATCAGCCTAATCATTACCATCGTCATCATCATGAGCAGCAGCATCAGTATCAGCATCCCCATCAATACCATCCTAATCAGCATCATGATCATCAGCATCATCATCAGCAGCATCGACATCATCACCATCATCATTCGCCATCATCGCCATTATCAGCATCATCATCATCAGCAGCAGCATCGACATCTTCACTACCCCACCACCATCATCACCGTCGTCAACATCATCATCATCACCACCATCACCATCATCATCAGCATCATCAGCATCATCATCCGCATCATCACGATTACAATCATCATTACCATACACATCATCAGCATCATCATCATCATAATCATCATCATCATCATCATCATTACGGCGGCGGCATTGGATCAGGAAAATGTTCCTGGGGCCCAGACCCTGGCGCATTCCTTATTTTTCAGGGCGAGGGGTGGCCAACGTTTGACAGCCCATCGGTCGCGAGACCCTGAGTTCCTTATCGAAGGTCTCCTTATCTAAAACCTCCACCGTATCATTACCACCATCATCATCATCATCACCATCAGCAGCATCATCAACATTATCAGTATCATCATCATCATCATCATCATCATCATCATCATCATCATCATCATCATCATCATCACCAGCCTCTTCTTCATCATCATCATCATCAGAATCGTCATCATCATCAGCAGCAGCATTCTAATCAGCATCATTATCAGCATCATCAATATCATCATCAGCATCATCATCATCAGCATCATCATCATCCACGCATCACTCCGCAATACCCTTCGGCTCGATTCCCCAAATACGCCCCAGTCCGCAAGCATCAATGTTCCGAGCTTTGCAAAGCATCCCGTCCACCCAAAGCCGAGCGACACCCCATCAGTTTGCAAAGTATTGCGTGCCGCAGGGGCCGCAGTTGCGGCACGCTGCGCAAGAGTTCCTGACCGTGTAGCTGCGGGCAGGCGTTGAGCGCCGGCCCCCACGGCGCTGGAGCACAGCGTGCGCCGCTGCGCAGGCGTTGACGAAGATATGGAGGCTGCTACGTTCGCCGCGAGTCATCGAGGATAGAGCAACCCCTAACCTTTGCCTTGGGAATAATAAGTATGGGCGGTTTGGCTTGGTCCATCCGCAGGAAAGACGCCCTATCTGTAATATCTTTGGCCCTCCTAACTCAAGTCCCCTCCCAAAGGGTTAGGAGTCATTTTTTTGTGAAGCAGCGAGGCGGCCCCCTCCGTCTCGACGGCGCCGCTCGTCGCACAGGGCTGCACAGGCCTCGGCGGCGAGGGCTTCCCTCGCTCCCCTCCGCCCGTCAAGGGAGTTGCAGGAGTCGTGTACCTCGTGGCCCGCCTCCGGCGGGGGGCCACGGGGCCAGGGTACGTCGTGCCGCCAGGCTCTTCCCCCTGCCAAGGGGTGCAGCAGGGCTGGACCTAAACGGTGTTTTGGCGATTTCGTGGGCAGTTTTCGTTTCGATTCCGTTTTGCGGGAAAGGCGGATTGAAGACACAACGAGGGAAAACGAAACCAAACCGAAAACGAAGACCACCGTTTGGGTTCAGCCCTGGGGCGCAGGAGTCGTTGCAGGAGGCCCTCGTGCCGGTGCTGGCGGGGCGCATGCGCCACGCGGCGGCGCAAGGCAGGCGCGGGGAGCGCCGCGGAGCACGGAAGCTCTTCGGCGGAGGGGCCTCGGCTCTGCGCAGCGTCTCGCGGCACCCGCAGCGCGGCCAGCCAGCCAGGCAGGTGCAGGCGGCGGCCCACGCCGGAGGCCCGCGACGAGGACGGCCCAGGCGCCCTTCCCAGACCCCCTCGTGGCGAAAAAGACAGCGCGACGGGAGGTTTTTGTTCGGCATTCTCGGCCTGCGGGGAGCCCTCGCCGGGCCTCGGGACCGTCGTGAAACGACTCAGGATCAGAAACTGGTCCCCGGGCAGGGGTCCGGGCGACGTCGGGGATCTGGGTTTCCGCCTTCCCGCTGATCCCGCCCTCCCCGGGGGGGGCGGCCTCGATCTCCAATGGCCCACTCATCGCCGATAGGGTCCCGATAGCGCACCCCGCCCAGGAGCGGGTGGACTCGTTCTCGGAGTCCGATCGCCCGATCTAGTGCCGAGGCGTCGCCGATTCCAGGTCGATGTCCCCCCTCCCCCCTTGAGCCAGTCCCCCACTGAGCGTGGCCCCTCAGACGTGCCCAGCGGACTGAAGAGCAAGAGGAAGAGCAAGAGGAGGAGGCGGAGGAGGAGGAGGAGGAGGAGGCGGAGGAGGAGGAGGAGGAGGCGGAGGAGGAGGAGGAGGAGGTGGACCAGGGGGATGTTCGGGGAAGCGGAGGGACGAGGAGGAGGAGGAGGAGGAGGAGGAGGAGGAGGAGGAGGAGGAGGAGGAGGAGGAGGAGGGGGGGTCAGCGGCCGACGGCAGTCACATTGACGCCTACGTCCGCGGGCCGCCCGCGCGGCCGCACGGTTCGAGTTCCACCTCTCTGGTTCTGGCGCGTGGTGCCACGGGCGTCACGCGGCAGCGGCACGCGGGAGGTGCGGGTCCGCGGGGCCCCGCGGCAGGCCCACGGCAATAGTGCGCTCAGAAGGGCCAAGGCCTCGACCGACCGTTCGGGGAAACGTAAGACTCGAGTGCGCCGGGACTCGGGTCTGCCGGCGCTTTTTGCCGAGCCCGTGCTGGATTCTGACGGTGCAGTTTTCGTGGAGTGTCTGCAGCGGGAGCCTGCGTCAAGTTTCAGACTGGGTCGCGTCATTTTCATGATGGCCCCGTCGGGCCAACCCGAGTCCCCCTAACCCGTGTCTTGCGTCTCCCCGAACCATGCCCACACCTTTGGTGCCGCAGAGGCCGCCTTCGACTTCAAGGGGTTCGGGGACGGTCACGGGGTGGCCGAGGAGGAGCTGCGGCCGCAAATTCGTAGGTGTAGCAGTGTGGTACTTGCCGCCGTGGACGAGGCGCGCGGAATGGCCCCGCCAGGGACGTGGGCTGTTTTTTCAAGATCATCGAAAATTCCAACCTGCTCCCCTGGCTCTCAGGCTCCATCCGTACTTTGCCCATGAATGGACGGGACCGTGCCGTCGGCAGTCAAATGCTCGCCGCCTGTAGCGGGAGAATGGTTGCCCCGCCCAGGCGTCCTCTTGCCAGACTTCTTGCCTGTGGCAATATGGCAACTGCCAGGGGCAGTGCACATGCAGTCTTGTCGGGCCGCCAGTTCCACAGCAACGGCAATGCCGCGTGGGCATTGGGCATCCGTCCGCTGGACATGCAGCACCAGCTTCGAGTGCTTCGGAGGTGGCTCGGCGCGCGCCTGCTTCATGGATCGAATCGTTGCGCGTGCCCTGCCAAATCCAGTTCCATGTAACGCCTCGGGCCAGCTCGTTGGGGCCATGCCGAGGCCGTGCTCTGCCCGCTTTGCGCGCAGGCGAGACACCTTTTTGCCTGGGAGAGCGGGCGCTCGGCGGGTCCCGCGGGCGGCAGCGCAGCCGTTTGGAGCGCAGCTTTCTCCATCTCGGCTGGATTGTGGCGGGCTGGGTGTTCCCCTCGGTGGAGGCGCCAGGAGGTGCGGTCTTTGGGAGATTCGTGCTTCAGTACGGCTGCGCACAGTGCCCCATGCGCGCGCGCGATCATCATCATCATCATCATCATCATCATCATCATCATCATCATCATCATCATCATCATCATCATCATCATCATCATCATCATCATCATCATCATCATCATCAGCATCATCAGCATCATCATCATCATCATCATCATCATCATCATCATCATCATCATCATCATCATCATCATCATCATCATCATTATCATCATCATCATCATCATCATCATCATCACCATCATCATCATCATCATCATCATCATCATCTTCATATTCATCTTCATCTTCATCTTCATCATCATCATCATCAGCACCATCATCATCACCACCATCAGCATAATCATCATCATCAGCATCATCAGCAGCAGCAGCATCATCATCAGCAACAACATCATCAGCAGCATCATCATCAGCAGCATCGTCAGCATCATAACCATCATCAGCAGCAGCATCAGCACCATTGTCATCATCAACAACATCATCATAATCATCAGCAGCATCACCATCGTCATCATCATTAGCATGATCATCAGCGTCATCACCATCATTATTGATCACAATCACCAGCAGCATCATCATCGCCATCATCATCATCATCATCATCATCATCATCATCATCACCATCATCGGTCGCATCAGTATCATCATATTCATCATCATCAGCAGCAGCATCAGCATCATCATCAGCAGCAACAGCATTATCCCCACCGCCATCATTCTTCGTCATCATCAGCACCGTCGTCATAGTAGTCATCATCGCCACCATCATCATCGTCATCATCAGCATCATCACCATCATTTTCACCCTCAACATCATCATCCCCACCGCCATCATGAAGATCATGGTCGTCATCACCACCGTCGTCATAGTAGTCATCATCATTATCATCATCATCATCATCATCATCATCATCATCATCATCATCATCATCATCATCACTGTCATCATCACTGGCATCAGCAGCAGCATCAGCAGCATCGTCCTTGCTTATCCTTATCCTTTCAACCCCTCCTCCCCACCCAAATGAGATGCGGAGGACGGCAGTTCGCAGAGGTAGGCCCGCGGCCCCGTCCGCAGGACGCGATGATCCTGGACCTGGCGGCGCTGCGCACCGCCGTCGCGCTCCGTGTTCTAGAGAGGACAGGGGTCAGGGGACGGTTGAGAGATGGGGCGTTCCAAAAAGGGCCTCGCCTTCAAGGATCGAAGAAGTTGCCATCCCTTCCGCGGTGGAAGGCGACGGAAGGGCGGCGGAACGCCAGCGGAAGAAGGAGAAAGCTCGGCGGAAGGCGGCGGAAGAACAACAAACGCCTGCAAGAGATGAACACGTTTTTGGCTTCAGGGTTTCCGAAGTCGACACGTTTTTTCCTGATGGCCCAGTGGGGGGGGCAGGGACCTCGTCCGCCACCCTTGCTCCTCCATCGGTGCGGGCTTACAGACGGTTCTGGAAAAGTTGCAAGTGGCCCAGGCGCGTTGCGGGACGCGCGACACAAGAACAAGTGACCACTTTCAGCCCATCCAATCGACTTGAGAACATTTACATGGCGCGTCTCCGAGGTGCGCAGAGGATGGAATGTTGAGCCGTGCGGCAGAGATGTCGTTCAACCAGTTGGAAGCCAACACCGACTGAGGTACAACCCCATCTACGCATCGGCACTCGCTCCCTGGCTTCCTCAACTTCCTTGCAAAGATCTCAAAACTTAAACTTGGAAAATGAGACCGGGCCACGTAAAATAATTTGATATTTTGGGGTAGGGGGATTTATGTGCCCATACCTCGAGTTTCGAGTGCCCGTCACGATTTACGAAGTGTCTATCGCGCATGGCAGGCCAGCCTGTCTCTCATAATGACTTGTGTTTGCAAAATGTGTGAAAACGTTTAAGCCTGGCTCTGGGCCAATTCATCTTGGTGCGAATTGGATGCGCACTCGTAGTGGCAAGCGGCTGATCATTGTTCGTGCTCTTCACGTGTATCCTGGAATCGAGGACGCGTGTTGTCTACTGCCTTGTACCCTCGTTCCGCATAGCACATCGAGCATAGTAGAGTCGTCACAGGGAATTTTCTCAACAGAGATACGGACGAGCCAAGATTCCATCTTCATGATTGCAATCAGTTGCGGCGACATTCGACGATGAGCAGACCATGAAATTCGAACCAATCGTCATATAGGATGGCGGATCTGGCCTTAATATGTCCATTGTCTCAAACAAGTTCTCGAACATGTAGTTGATGACCGTAACATTGACTTCCGGCTCCGTAGCAGACCCATGCCAGTCCCCATTGCCAAATTCCAGGTTGGATTGTCTACGCCACCGATGGTCAATCATTGATTCCGCAATACCTCCTCAAGACGACCCTGACAGCAAACAACAGGGGAAGGCCATATGGTTTATTATTCGCATGGCATGGGTTAGACGTGCGTGTGCACCCCTTATGGAAATGGGGGAGGGGAAGGGAGGAGAGGAGGGAGGGGGGGCAGGGGGGGAGGGCAAGGGAATATGAGAAGGAAGGAGGAGGGTAGGGTGAAGGGAGGAGCGAGAGGAGGGAACAGAGGCTAAGACTGTGTGCCGTTGCCCCCCATCGTTGCCTCACATAGCTGCCCCCCATCGTGGACAACATCCTGTAACCGTGAGATCAGGTTCCAGGTTGTCTGCCGCAAGCGTGTCATTTGCAGGAGATGGCGAGTGGTCTCGATTCCAGCGTAATTGGGATGTTACTGCGTCACATATGAGAACGGAAGTATACATATATATATATATATATATATGTATATATATAGATGTGTATATATATACATATATATATATATATATACATATACATATACACACATGCATGTGAAAAAGCCTACAGATCGGAGGAAAATCGTACAGAACGAATATGGAGATACAACTGTTTGAGGAGTGCCGGTAACCCTGGCTTTGGGGTGAGGATCGAAGGCATTTGTTGCGTAGGTCACAAGGCGCGTTTCATTACTCGTCAAGTGCCCGCTCGCAAACGTCCGAAAACCAAAAGGCCTGCCTCCAATTTGATGGATCGTAGATCCCTCGCGGCGGAGCCAGGCCACTTGCGAGTAGTGGAACGCGCGTGTCTAGTAGGGGAAGGGAAAGATCTGGTGCAGTCTGCGTAACGCTGTGCAGGCCGCGGCGCCCGAAACATCCTCCAGAGCCGCCGGATCTCAGATGTTCTTCATTTTTCCTCCCCCGATCCCAGACCCTCGACGCCGTGATTTTTGTCACGACGTGTCCCCCAGGAGCCTGGACCCCTTCCCGGGGACCGGTTTGACATCCTGAGTCTCGTTTTGTTGATAGTCCCGAGGCCGTGCGAAGGCCCCCCCGGAGGCCGAAAGTAGGAATTGCCTTGCGACGTGCCCAACCCTTTCGATGCATGTGGCGGGTATAGTCAGGACCACTCAATGCTGACTGGCATTCTGAAGGACTCGCAGCGCGCAAGAATAGCACCCAGCAGTGATTTCAGGAGAGCGCAGCGAGAAGAGCAGCGGCAAAAATACGAAACGGACACACAAGGGGCGTTTGTGGAGGTACCTCCGCTGGGCCTCCCAGGAGCCCACGAAAGTGCCGACAGTTTCGCAGATCGCAGCCCCCTAGGGCACCGCGAGCTATAGTGGTGATCCGCGTGGGGCGTACCTCCGCTGGGCCTCCCAGGAGCCCACGAAAGTGCCGATAGTTTCGCAGATCGCAGACGGCACGAGAGAAGAGGGGAAGGGAACACAGGAAACAGGAGAGAAGGAGGAGAGGAGGAGAGTAGGAGAGGAGGAGGAGGAGGAGGAGGAGGAGGAGGAGGAGGAGGAGGAGGAGGAGGTGGAGACCACACTGCTCTACTCAAAACGAGTACCCAACACAGGAGGGTTGGGGGAACAAAAGTCTTGTCGCGGTTGTTTTCGCAACGCGAGGAGGTCTTGGTAATTTGCTGCGTCGGGGAAGGAACACATTTGGTGCAGTCTGCGCAGCGCTGTGCATGCTACTCGACACTGATGGGGCCCCAGCCGTGCGGCGCAGTCTCTCCTGGCGGCCCCGCGGCGCCAACGGACGGCGAACCGAGAAGAGGAGCGGTCAGGAGAAGGAGGACGGGGGGAGAGGGGAGGAGCGTCCTTGGCACCACACTTCGAATGTGCAAAGCTGGGTATGCCTGCACATGAGTTGATGAATGCAGGGCTCTGCTCGAGAGCGTGCCTGGACAACGGCATTCAAACAAAACGTGGGTTGAGGTGGTGAGCTCACCCCTTGACGACAGGCGTGCTTGTCCTCTTGAAGCTGTGCACTGTGCAGGCAACGCTCATGCGCATGAGGGTATGACTTGTTGTGCTTGTCCCAGGTCCCAGGAGGAGGAGGAGGAGGAGGAGGAGGAGGAGGAGAAGAAAGAGGAGGAGGAGGTGGAGGTCAACGTGGAGGAGCTACCAGCACAAGAAAACTGCACAGAAAGTAGACACCCGCAGCCAGTTGGCCCAAGCCGCTTGGATCGAGCCCCCCCCAGCACAGCGCTGCCTACAGGCGGCAGGCCGCAGCAGTCTCCCTCTGCGCCGTGGCCCGTGGCCTGCGCCGGCCGGGCTCGGGACAGATGCTCGGGAGCATCCGCGAAAAGGCCTCGGCGACCCTGGCGGCCGCGAGCACGGCCGTCAACGACCGGGTGACGGAGGCGAAGGGCGGGAAGAAGATCGTCGACGAGGGCGGGGAGTCGGCCGCGGCGGCGCTGAGCGCCAAGGGCGCGGCCCAGACGGCCGTGTCCGCGGACAACGACCTCGTGGCGCGCATGGAGAAGGCCATACCCATGTACCGCGACGCGGCCGCCTCGCTGCGCAGCGCCGCGGGCGGGCCCCGCGCGGAGGGCATCACGGGCTACGACGAGTTCGCCACGCTCGCCGCCTCGTACGAGGCGCGCGCGGACAGCTACGAGCAGGTGCTCGGGTCCCTCCGCGGCGCCCCCGCCGCGCTGCCGATGACGGCATCCGAGAAGGACGCGCTGGTCCTCGTGCAGGCCAAAGGCCACGTGACCATGATCAAGGGCAAGTCGCTGGAGGGCGTCGAGATGCTGAAAGGCTCCGCGGGGGCCGCGGCCAGCACGAACTCGGGCAGGTGAGGGGGTCGGGGGCCACCCGCGTGGAGCCCCACCCATCCTCCCTCCCCGCCCCTGGCGCTGCAGCAGGGGCCGCGCAGCAACAGCCTGCCCCCCCACCCCCAGCGTTCGCCTCCCAGCTCCTCCACCTCCTCCTTTCCTGCTCCTTTCGCCCCCCTCCTCCCCCCCACGCCGAACGCCTCGGCAAAATCGTCTCGACGTAAGCGAATCCTTTAGGACGGGCCCTCGTCCCTGCGCGCACGATGCCCACGACCTCACTTCGCTTATGGTGCAATCAAGAAATGCATTCTCATAAACGTGGATCTGCGCTGGGCCCCCTGGCGGTGCACCAGGCGCCGCCCCTTTGCGCGCTCCTCGCGCCAGGAACGGGAGCACAGCGCCGATCCAAGAAATCTGCGCGGGTGGGAAAGGACTCGATTCCAAATCAGTAGTCAAACCATGTTTCAACCCAGGGTAAACCAGGTATTCAGTTTGTTGAGTGTCCGTGAGCCCGCCGTACGAGACATCGGGATGGTTGGTTGCTTGCCCGATTGGCTGGTTGACCAGTTGGTTTGTTGGCCGGTCAGTTGGCTGGTTGTTTGGTTGGTTGGTTGGTTGGTAAGCAGTTCGGTCGGTAAATTGATAGGCTGATTGGCTGGTTGGTTAGTTGGTTGGTTGATTCGTTGGTTGGTTCGTTGGTTGGTTGGTTGGTTGATTCGTTGGTTAGTTGGTTGGTTGGTCGGTCAGTCGGTTGGTTTGTGAATCGCGTGGTTGGTCGGTCAGTTTGTTGGTTGCGAGTTGATCCGGACCATACTGCCTAAGCCTTTAAACCTTAGTGCAGCAATGTTATCCCCATCTCTAACAACCTAACCCTACCTCTGAGCAAGCCATTACACGCTGACCCTAAGACCCTCACCATAAGCATTCAAATACCCGTTGCTCAGCCATGAGTTCGTATCTCGGAACCCTACCCCCAAGCACAGACTGCAACCCTGAGCTTGAAATAGTACTGCTCTACCATATCCGCCATGTGGTAGCGCAAGGGGGCGAAACAACTACAAATCTACGC